TGGAGAGATATAATGACAAACACAATATTTTCCAATAATGGTGATGAATAATTTATTTAGCAAAATATGATGAATTTATAAAGCAATCCAATGGATGTTGGCATGGTGAGCAGGTGATTTTGATATCAAGGTGGAGATTGTTGGATATAGTGATATACAAAATCACCCAAAAAAGGAAATTACATATCATATGAGATTGATATTGATAATGATAAGTTTTCTAAAGAAAATATAAATCCAAAAAGATTAGAATTTTGAGATATATTTATTGGTTATTGAGATATACGTAACATCTATAGAAAATTTCCTATTTCCTAATCTTATATATGCGAGATGAAAGATGAAAAAATATGTATACCCTATTTTGATCACTATAAGGGAAATATGGCTTCCTCTAAAAGAGGTACATGACCTCTTATGCATCAGAGGCAAGATCTTCCCTTTAAAGAGAAGAGAGCTCCCTATGGAGAGAAATAACACGGATGTACTTCCTGTAGATTTAGAGAGTAGTTTTTTATAGAGAAACGGTTCCCACCTTTTAGTGAGATAAAATATCAGTTGCTCTCAAGGGTCTTTTCTTGGACAACGGTTAGCTGTGGATTGGAGTTGGTCTCTTTCTGGACAGTGGTTTAGTCGTGTTGATCGGGAGAGTGAGTCTAAAAGGGTTTGCTCGACTGGGTTTTGTCAAGGGTTAAAGAGGTAACTCTATATACCAAAATCTATTATGTAACTTTCATTGGTATAATGAATTTTAGTTTGTCGTGCCCATGTATGCAGCCCTCTTGGGGTGAACCACATAAATCTTTGTATTCTTGTGGGGTGTGTCTATGTGTGTGTGTTTTATGCTTTATTTCTTGTACTCATGCTCTCTCTTATTTTGTTTCTAGCTAAATAAGTACAGGATATTGGTGGGATCCAACTTTTGGGATTCCTGTTTCACATATAAGAGGGTTCTTAAATCCTAATACAATACATGTGGTTTTATTTTATAATGGTAAAAGTTTTTACTATGATATTTTATTTGTATATACATAACATATGAAACTCGATTTATGTGTAAATATTTTCCAAAAAATATTTACGCACGAACCAAACATATCCTTTAAGGTATACCTTAGGATATAACTTTAACAACCTCCAAAAAGAATGAATTTAGTACGCATAGTGCATGTACCTGAGAAAAACAAGTTATGCTCCTTAGCAAGGTCCTTACCCTAGAGAGGGAATGTAAAATATGATCCTAAGAGGGTATGCTACAAAGTAAAGTTTTCCTATTTCTCTCTTCAACAACCAAAAAAGGGAACACACAACAAAGATGTATTGACATTAATTGCTAACACATAAGAACTTTGTGTGATACCACAAATAATTGCCTTTTATCTTTTTCTAATTAGACCCAATTTTTTATAATAGTAAAAGAGCATAAATCCTCCATTCACGAATTTCATAATCTCTTGAAAAAAGCACCTTATAGAAACAATTTTGAATTATATAATGAAACAATAAATCTATTTTAAATATCTAATAACGTACAAATAGTGTTTTGTAAGTAAAATCTATATCTTTTTTAACTATAACTGAATTAATTTAATTTATGAGCATAATTGTAAAATGTCAAATTCTTAAATATTCAATTTATAAATCTTATTAATTAAATTGACAAACTCAATAATTATTCTTAATCATAAAGGGAGTACATAACATCACTCATGTTTTCAATAAACTACCTAGCACTTTAAGTGTTCATATTAGTAGTTAAATGATTATTACACCTGTGTTCCCAGAATTAAAGCAATATTAAAAAATGTGAATGGCCAAAATTACTCTGAGTAATATAGTGTCAATGTTAAAATTGAATTAACAATTTTAATTGCAAAATCATTTTGTAAATAGATTTTTTTGGAAGCGAAAATTTATGTTTTAAAACAACATTGTTGGCATCAAATTTAAAGTATGATTTGACAAATTTCCTTATAATTACAATAATTTTAATTACAAAGGAAATATAGAGGGTCATTTTTAGGTGGTTGAATTAGCAGGGAAGCCCAAAATAAAATTTTTTTTTATAAACAAGTGAGTCACAAAAGTACTATCATCAATAAATTGTTAAAACTTGAATTTTAATGGTTTTTAGTTAATAATTAGGAAAATTAAACTACGCTGCTAGCCCCAAAACTATATAAAATTGGGCACTACTATTATATACAATGAGATCATTTACTTTTGGTATAGGGAGGTCACAATTTTTTACAACAATTTGATGTGAAATCTAATAGCTAGGGAGTGTCATAAAGTTCGAAAAAATTTCTTTTGAACTTTAAGCTTGGTCAATGAAATAAAGCAGTCACCCAATTTCACATCCAATGGTCAAATATTAATTATGGCCGCCTTGTACCAAAGGTAAATGGGTGCGGTTTGTATAGAGCCGAGGCTCTAAACAATCAAGTTAGAGCTCACTTTCAAATCGTGTCAAGAATATGGTTTTCATATTGGAAATTTTTGTGATAGCCTTAAAATGTATTTTCATTTTTAATAATAAAATTTAAAGCTTCAAATATAGTGTATACGGAGCAGATCTATGAAAACTTCAAAATATTGAAAATTGATGGTAAAAAAAAGCGTAACAAGATGCACCATTTCTGAAACTTGAAATCCAAATTTTGCTCATGTCCATGCATCTTGATGTCAAGATAATCAAATTGATGATATTTGGGCATCAAAACAACCTCTTTTAATGAAAATTTTGAGGTAGGCTCTAATTTGATTATTTAGATCCTAGGCTCTATATAAATTTTTCCTAAGGTAAATGGTCTCATGATATACTTTCCCATTAAAATTTTATATACAAAGAAAATAATCAGAATCCCTTAAAAATTATATTGTTATTAAAAATAAAACATGGCATTATTGCTATTGTATTTTAAAAAATCAAGCTTTTATGCAAATACCAGTATCTATTATGTTTCATAATTTTGTATAAAAAAAATTCAAATTACAATTGTAATTAAAAGAGCCATTATTTCTATTATACTGGCACATTCAAATCTATAATTTTGTACTAAAACAAAATGTCAATAATCTAGAGTATAAAATTGATGTTAAATTTCTAAATTTTAATATAATTACGTTGAAGAATCAGTTTCTCTTATGTAATCCAATTTTATTTTTTAATAACATAATAAAAGCTATTATTTATGAGCAAAAAATTTATCAAATTTTCATTGTAACATATTTCGATATCCATTACACATATATAAAGGAAAAGTTTATCTAGAGCCGAGGCTCTAAATAATCAAATTGGCACCCATCTCAAAATTTTCACTAGAGGAGATTGTTTTGATGCTCAAAAATCCCCAAATTGATCATCTCGACATGAAGATGCATCACAATGAGAAAAGAAATGGATTTCAAGTTTTGGAAATAGTACATCTTGTAATGCATTTTGGAATGTCAATTTTTGAGATTTTTAAGTTTTCATAGATCTACTAGATCTACACTATTTTTGAAGCTTTAAAATTTATAATTAAAGATGAAAATATATTTTAAGGCTATCATAAATATTTTCAATATTAAAATCATATTTTTCGACACTATTCGAAGATGGGTTTTACTTTGATTGTTTAGAGCCTTGGCTCTGTATAAAAAAAAAAAGTCAATTTGCACCTTAGATATGGTCAAAATTAGTACCCCCAACAATGAATTTCGATCATCTATTTGGTGAATTTCAAGATCCAGGCCGTGACAAATTTAAAATCACTTTTCCCTTTTTAACATTGTTAATCTAATGATGATAACACCATATACAAATTTTGGGAATAAAAAATCCTTATGAGGCCTATATCTAACCATCTCACTAAAATGGACGGCTTATATTAATTGGGCTAAAAAAGTACTTTCTATGACATTGTTTCAAACTTTGTTTTTTGTTTTTTTGTAATTGTTCTTTAGAGTTAAAAAAAATACACATTTAAAAATTTGTGTCAAACAAATGTCTCTAACATGGGTTTTGAAGATAATTGTATTATACTACTATATAACGGTTGCATGAAATCATTCCCTATTAATGGTAGGAGTCAAGGAAATGTACACCGACGTGCGGCAGCTAGCTTCCCTGCCGAATTCACGGGTAAACATGAACTTGAATTTTTAACCGCTTAGTCCAAGCAAACTTCATTGTTATTATGCTTTCTCATTTCTTCCCTTTTATAACGGCTGCTAGTGCCACCTTTAAGAAATTTTTTAGAACCTTGTGATACATCTAAGCTATCAAATGTCACACAAGATGATTATAAGTAATTGCGATCGTATTGAAGGAGAACACATTGATCTTGACCATTGACATATTAATGTTCAAAAAATAAAATACAAATAGGTTGTGGTGTGCATATTGTAAGCCGGGGCTTAATTGGTCAATGCTTGACAATTTGTAATGGTACGTCTTAGGCTCAATTTGAAAGAAAAAAAAAACCGGTAGAGGCCCTCTCCCCACTAAAAGGGAAAAAAAATAACTCTGCCCACTAAAGGGAAAAAAAGAAGAAGAAGGTATAGGCTATCTCCCCACTAAAAAAAAAAACGCAGCCTAGTCCCCCACACGCTCGCTTTTAAATTTTATCATAAAAATAAATAATAAATAAGAAGACCTGGAAATTTATTTTTACCTTTAAATATAAAATTTTAAACTATAAAAATAATACAAATCAAGAAGATTTATAAACATATGCAAATCTTGAAAATGGACATAATAGATAAAATCTTGAAAATGGACATAATAGATAATGTGTTGCAAGCTATTTTTGAGACTCAAAATCTTTTATAATTATTATTATTATTATTTTTTCCTATTTACACATCTCAATATCGAGATAATCAATTACATGGTTTTTCAACATTAAAACAATTTTATTTGTTATATAAATTTTTGAGGTGCCCCATGATCATATGTTTTAAAGCTGCAACCTTCTATAATTTTTTTCAAAAAGATATAGACAGTCCATTTGCCCCGGTCTGGTTTATCAAACGCTGACGTTCGTTAAACATCATCATTTTTTTAGCTTTTGTTTTCCGTTAATTAATTCAGGTCAGTCGGTTAACCGAATCACGTTTCTCTATTCAGAGAAGCCAAACGTTTTCAGATATTTGTTGCACAGGTGTCCCACAATCTCGTGGATTTTCCCAGCCTTATAGAACTGGAATTCATGCTAAGACGTTATCTCCTCGCTCGTTTTTCTTGAAGCTTTTACGGTGGGCAAGATGGCCGTCACTTCCTCCTCCTCCTCTTCATCTTCTCTGAAACTACCTTCTCTCTCTCCTCTTCTCACTTCCAAGACTTTAACATGGCTTCCCCAATTACTCCCTCACCGGCAGCAAAGGCCCTATCTTAGCCTCGTGATGACCTCCCCTTCGCCTCAGCAGATTTTCAGGACACATGCTTCAAAATCCTCTTCCACTTCTTTTCTTGCTTTTGATCAGATAAAAGAGGACGTTCCTGCCGGTGTTGAAGTGACTGAAACTAAAGAGCCAGGTTCTAGAGTGAGACTCCTTTCCTTCTCTCTCTTTGCTGTTATTGCATTCTATTATGTGCGTTCTTTTGTGTTATCGATTTTCCTATGGCTGTTTTAGATTGTGAACTCGGTGAATGAATATATGAATTGGAACAGTTACATTGTATTATTGCCTTGTTAATTTGCGAATCGTGCTTGCTGTTCTGGAAACTTTAATTTTTATTGTCTAGTAGTTTTCTTATACAGGAAAGTGGTTAATTTTAATACAGTGACTGCCTTGTGGTTAACTGAATGGTAAAATTGTGACGGTTCAAAAGAGTTGAAGCAAACCTTTTTGAAATAAAAAATGAACTATAGTGAGAGCATTAAGTTTCATCCCACCACCCTGTAAATTTGGTGGAAACATGTAAAGTGACATCCGTCAGAGTGTCTTGAGGACAATTGTTCAATGCTTTCTAATTTTGATTTTTTATATGCACGGTAGTAAAGAATTTATGAGGATTGAGGAATACATTACTTGCTTGTATTTGGGTAATTCTTTCTTTACATAAATCTGTGCAGACACTTGGGTGATTGATAGTTTGTACTTTGTAGCATGGAGGAAAGAATTCTTACTCTTGAAAAGACAGGTAAAAAAAGGGCAAAGTTAAACATGTTGGAATTATTGGTTGGGTGAAAAAGGGGCAAAAAGATAGTACAAATTAAGAAAATTGAAGCTTGAATCCTTTTTGTTTGGACATATAGGAGCGGTATTAGGAACATGATATTTGCCCACCTTCGATATGTGCATAAGAAGGGCAATTCGTCCTCAGGATGCAGGGAAAACAAAAGGGTCTCTTTTAATGCTCCAAAGCTCTATGTACCTGAGCTTGAAGCCCACAGTAGACACCATAATATTGTGTTGTGTAGGGAGAGAAAAAGAGAAAAAATGAGTAAAGAGAGATGAGTGCTTTGTTATGCTCTCTTGAATTTTACAGAGAGTGGTGTGAGAAGTGTTTTCAAAGAGTATAATTCATATGAAAATAAAAAGACCTCTTTTATAGAGCTCCTAGAGGCTGCCCATTTATGATAGGAGTGATTACATGCATCACCAACAGTCGAGTATAATTCATATGGAAATAAAAAGACCTCTTTTATAGAGCTCCTAGAGGCTGCCCATTTATGGAGTGATTATATGCATCACCAACAGTCACAAGTTACATGCATGCTTTTAGCTTGACGGTTGCTATTATAAGCCTTCATTTACATGCATGCTTTTAGCTTGATGGTTGCTATTATAAGCTTTCATTTCTTCAATGGCTAGTGACCGTTGGATGTCTCACACGAGCCATGCTCACAAAAAAATATCGAGCCTCAATCCCGATCCATACACGTGCTCGGACGAGGGGTACTTTAAGCTCAGATGCGAGCGCGCAAAGTGTAAAGTGTGCCATCAAGCCCCCTTGCCCCCACACACATGCGTGCGTGCGTGCGTGCGCGTTGTACACTTCGCGTGCTTCGCACATGCACCGTCATTCTCTCCATTGTTTTAAGACTATAAGACATGCGAATGCCTACACTTAAATACTACTCAATCTACATTCTCCTCTTCAATGTGGGGACTAAAAATCCAATGCTCTTTTTCTACAAAATACAGCTTAGGAAAATCATACAAAACCATAATGATTTTGAAATACACAGGTATTCTTCAAAACAAAAAATACTAACTTTTTCAGTCACTATTTAAAAATAGCAAGGAAAAACATAGGAAACATATTATTTGCATACCATGAAGGTATCTTTCGATTTAAACTTTCACTTGGAGTGTACACTACAAAATCCATCAAGTATTATGGTAGCATATAGCTTTGAACCAGTTGCTTATCTAACAGACCGGTAGTATGACTCACAAACAATAGTAAACTCTGGTGCCTTTTAGTTCCCAGCACATTTTGGGCTTTGTACTTATATCCGAATTTCATGTACTCTAGAGACGAGTCCCATCTCATAGGAAATGACTTCACTTCCACACTTATATAGGTGTGTCTATCAAGAGTGCCTCTGTAAATAAATGACTTATGTATAGTCCATAGACAACATTAAGAGTACAACTCAACCTACTAACATACAGGTCATTGCTAGACTTACCACCGTTTGGATTTTTTAAGAATGGGTGGCTATAATATTTGGTCGTCTAGTGACCAACGTAATCATACATACAATTTGTTTTTACTACATCGAAATTAGAATTTTTAGGTTACAAAAGACTAGCTTGGGTTCCCACTGTAGATGATTACTCAATGGACTCTAGCCCCATTCTTTTTGACATCTTACTAATGCCATCCCTTGCAAGGCTTTTTGTCAAAGGATCAACTAAGTTTTCCTTTGATCTTCCATATTCTATACCAATCACTTCATTTTCAATTAACATTTTAATGGAGTTATGCCTTCATGCAATATGTGTAGATTTTTCATTACATACATCATTACAACTCTCACTATAGTAGCTTGATTATCACAATATATTGTGATCGCAGGTATTAGTTTTGGCCATATGGGTAATATCATATTACAAATTCTTTAGCCATGCTCCCTCTTTATCGGCAGAGCTTAAAGCAATAATTTCAAACTCCATAGTCGAGCACGAAATACATGTTTGTTTATTTGACCCCCATGATATCGCACCACCCCTTAGTGGTAAATCCATCCAGATGTTGATAGAATATTAGATTTCTTTGTTCCAATTAGCATTACTATACACCCCTCCAACACTCCGGGATAACCCACATAGTGTATGTCATAATTGACAGTTCCTTTCAAGTATCTTAATACTCGAGATATAGCATCCCAATGCTCTCTACCAGGGCAACTTGCATATCTGCTAAGTTTGCCCGCTGCATATGCAATGTCGGGCCTCAGGCTGCTCATTGCATAGATTAAACTACCAATTACCCTAGCATGCTCAATTTGAGATATACATTTTCCATCATTTTTCTTTAACTTAATATGAGGATCCGTTGGGGTAAATGATGGCATACTATCAGTATGCTCAAACTTTTTCGGCATTTTCTCAATGTAGTGATATTGAGTCAAGATTGATTTATATAATTTTCTCACTATTTTGATACCAGGTATCACATTAGCCTCTCCTATGTCCTTCATATCGAAGTTAGATGCGAGAAATCTTTTAGTTTCTTCCACAATTTCTAGATTAGTCCCAAAGATAAGCATGTCATCTACATATAGACATGTTATGATACAAAAAATTCATTTGCTTACTATATACACATTTATCAGCCTCATTCTCTTAAAACCATTTGACATTAGTACACTGTCAAATTTCTTGTGCCATTGTTTTGGTGCTTGTTTAAGTCCATAAAGAGATTTAACTAATTTATAAACTTTGTTCTCATGTCCTGGCATTGCAAACCCTTCAGGTTGTTTTATATAGATTTCTTCATCTAAGTCACCATTGCAGAAAATGGTTTTTTCCATCCATTTGATGTATGACCAAATGGTTGATACAAGCTATTGCTAAGAGCAATCGAATAGTAGCAATTCTTGCCACATGTGCATGTGTGTCAAAATAATTGATGCCTTATTTTTTTTAAATCCTTTGGCTACTAATATTGCTTTATATTTATTAAAAACCATCAGCATTACGTTTTGTTTTAAATATCCATTTACAACCTCTGGGTGTAGAACTAGAAGGAAGATTTATTGATTTCCAAGTTTTATTTGCCATTATGAAATCCATTTCACTATTTATAGCTTCTCTTCAATAAATTGCATGTTGAGAAACCAAGGCTTCACTTATTGTTGTTGGATCTTCCTCCACATTTGAGACTATAAGTATTGAACTTAGTATCTTATTTTGATTAGCCTCAACTAGATATATATAAAAAATCTTGCGCAAAGTTATAAGGGATCATTTCTAATTCGTTTACTTCTTCTTGGTTCTATTTTCTCATCATCATTATTTTTTACAATATTCTTCATCAACATTTGGATCATTTGCATGATTATTTTCATTTGGTATACTAGTTCTATTTAATTCACTTTTACAAGTGAGATTTTGACAAAATTCAGCATCTCTTGATTCTATTATTGTGTTGGAGTTTAGATTAAAAAATCTACATGCTTGACAATTTTGAGAATATCCTACAAACACACATTTAGTGGTTCTAGGACCTAATTTATTTCTTTTAGGATATGAAATTCTAATATATGCAAGGCAACTCCATACTTTAAAAAGTTTAAAGAAGGTTTTCTATTAAACCAAAGTTCATAAGGGGTCTTATCACTCTTTTTATATGGAATTCTATTCAGAATAAAACATGCAGACAATAAGGCTTCACCCCATAAATTTTGTGGCAAAGAAGAAGATATAGTCATTGCATTTACCATTTCTATTAAAGCTTTATTTTTCCTTTCTACTAATTCATTTTGTTGAGGGGTATAAGGAGCAGTCACTTCATGAATAATGCCATTATTTTCATAGAATTCATTAAAATCATTTGATAAATACTCTCCACCCCTATCACTTCTTAAAGTTTTAATTTTCTTACTAAATTGATTTTCTACTTCTACTTTGAAAACTTTGAATTTTTCAAAAGCCTCATCTTTATGTCTAAGCAAATAAACATAAGCATATTTTGAAAAACCACCAATACATTAATGAAATATGTTTTACCACCTCTAGTTAGTTTTTATATCACTATGTATAAGTCCTAATAATTCACTATTTCTTTCTATTTTAGGAAATGGTTTTCTAGTTATTTTAGCTTGTGCACATACTTCATAGTTTTCATTAGATGATTCATCATAATTAGATATCGATTCCAACTTAACCAAAGATTTAATAGAAGCATAGTTAACATTCCTAATCTACCATGCCACATGTTACAAGAAGTCATGATATCAACAGAAGACTTATTTATTCCATTAACCAAATCAAACTTGAACATCCCATCACAAAAGTAACCTTGCCAACAAATACACCATCTTTTGTCAAAATGAGTTTGTCAGACCCAGTGACCATTTTAAAGC